GGTTAGGACTCGAGCTGTTGAGCTACCAACCAGCCCCAAAGGCTGTGAATCTCACCAAAGATTAACCACAAATAATAAATGCACTGTTTCATTCATTAGTCTGAAAAGGAGACAAGGATGTATCTTAGTCCACAATTCTTCAAATTTTCTTTATAACTCGGCATAGTCTACATGTTGTATTTGTCAAAAAAAAAACCTGACTTTTTAAGTCATAAAAAATGTAGTCCAGTCATGTCTGACTCTAGGAAGCGGTGCTCATCTCTGTTTCTTAGCCAAGGGAGCCAGTGTTGTCTGAAGATACTTCCATGGTCATGTGGCCAGCATAACTATATGCCGAGGCACATGGAATGCTGTTATCTTCTCACTATTTATCTACTCACATTTGCATGCTTTTAAACTGCTAGGTGGCAGGAGCTGGGGCAAGTATGGGAAGCTAATTCCGTCATATGGTACTTGGATCTCGAACTCCTACCTTCCGACTGACAAGTCCAACATCTTAATCACACCAAATAAACCTGCAGACAGCAAACAGTTGAAATATCCAATAGTGAAAATTATTTCTAACATATCAGAGGACAGTATAGATTTATATTTGAATAAAAGTAGGTTTTATTTGGGAATCTGGCTGTTTTTGCAGATCTTTAAATAAAAACAAATACAGTGAATATAAGTTTGATGATAGAGGGAGAGTTTTCAAGTAAAAGGGAGATACACCTTTGGGGAATTAATGAAATAATACCCTTCAGTATCAAATACGGGATGAGAAGTTTTGCCTGACATTCAACATTTTCATAGTAATACTGTGTACCAGGGTATCCTGAGTGGCTTGGTGGCCTAATGAAGATGGTCACCTCCCACTTAGAAGGTTGCGAGTTCAATTCTAGGTAGTGGCAGATGTTTCTCTCCTAGGGCACAAAGAAAAAAATCTGCTGCGAACTGCGCATGGCATCAGGAAGAGCACCTGGCCTGTAAATGCTCAGCTCCATCTCATATTAGGGATTACTGGGTCATAAAAACGGAGGTGGTTTTTTTTTTTTTTACTGTAGTTCAGGGTCAGATATAGCATTTGAGTGGCATGCTAAAAGATTTACTTCACTCTAACTATAATTAATCTAAGCCAGTTAATAAGTATGTTTTGTATGTATGTATGTATGTATGTATGTATGTATGTATGTATGTATGTATGTATGTATGTAGTGGCCCAGCAGGAGCCGTTGAAGCTGCCACCAGACTTTGACAGCGAGGGGCCCTATGAATCAGCTCTGGAGGATGTGGAGGACCCTGGACAGGTCCTCCACATCCGAGCAGGGCGCAGAGCAGGGCGCAGAGAGGCTGGTTGGCCACCAGGAGGCGCCTGAGCCTTGGACCAGTGGGGAGGAAATAAGGGAGTGTGATCGTGATGTCATGCATTGGAGCAGTGGGGAGGAGCCAAGGGAGTTGTTCCTGGATGCTCGGCACCAATGAGCTGATAGGCAGAAGGAACAGTTGTGCAGTTACAGGAGATAATTGTACTCAGCTGGTGGTCATTAGGCTCCTCTCAAGACTATAAAAGGAATGAGTGTGCACATACCCTTTTGCAGGAGTCAATGTTTGCACTAAAGTGGGAGAACTTTGGGGGCTAGCTTGGCAGGCAGGATTGCTGCCAAGGTTAGTCTGTGTTGGATTGCTGCCACGTCTTGTCTATGCTGGATTGCTGCCACCGCCTTGTCTGTGCTGGATTGCTGCCAATGCCTGGACTGTGCTGGATTGCTGCCAAGGGCCTGTCTGTCTGTTAATAAAGTCCTTGAAGTATCTTTGTCTTGGCGTGCTTTGGTGTATACATACATACATACATACATACATACATACATACATACATACATACATTATAATCCATTAAAAGTTACACCCTTTCATGAATTACTGCCTTATCATGGCAAAGAGTCTTGTACAACTCAAAAAAGATATGAGTTAAGATGTGGA